TCGGTCTCAGGTTGACATGTCGGTTGACATGGCCACTGCTAGTCACCATCCACCAATTAATTTCTAATTACATGCCCAGATGTCGTCGAAGCATCTGCACAAGAAGCGGACATGTCAACCTGAGATCGACCACTTGGTTTCAATAGTTGACAGGAAAATCTAAAATTGAATTTTGCGTCAGTCTGTGTTATATATTTCCCTGCTTTTAATCATGTTACTTATAAGTTTTAAGTAGTATGGATTGTACTGTCAGTGCTGTTGATTACCATTTTTCTATTTCACGGCTATATTTCATTTGACATGCTGAAAATTTAATTCATCACATTTTCTTCACTGTGCCTTGACCACACTGTTCTGCCATTTATGTCATACGATCGCTTAAATTTTGTTTGTTTACAATGATGATTTTATTCTGTTCAGCACATCACATGTAACAACAGAAGACAATGGCCAGGAAACAGATCGTTTATTTACGAAATCAACACATATTCATAGATTTTCATGTACATATTGTATATAGATTAGTGTTAGCAGAAAAACACAGTCCTCTGATTGGTTGTTTCTCACAAAAAATTAACCTTGCATCTCTTCGTGACTGCTTCTTGAATGTCAGATCATCTATATGTTAACTGTATCCGCCTACGCAAAGCCTTTGTTCTCATTTCGCTCACGACCAATATTGGGGACATAAACATCGGCGTAAATTACTGTCCACCAATTTTCGTTAGCAGCCAGCTCTCACCACACACATTCTTCATACTTCATTGTAGTTTGTACCCTGGATTTTACACCCAAGTCAAACTGTTTGTTTCGGAATAAAGAAGGTTTACTAGGAGTAATTCAGGAGTAGGATGTTTGTATTATACTCACTAACAATACATGAATTTGAATCTTTGGTTCGCACTGAGATCAGTGATTGATAATTTCTATGGTACACGAAGTGTATATATTGGACGAATATATATGTAGATGATTGGCAGACTGTGAAAAGCAATCCTTTGTTCCGTAATCATATTTCTGTCTTAAAATAAGGATTTTTAACTTACAACATCACTGATATTTTACTCAGATTGTATCATTGATAGTACCTTGTCTTATAATTGTGTCTTCTTCTTCATAATATACAATATACTGGCAATTACACATGAATGAAAATTATTCAAAACTACGCTGAAACGACTATTGTTACTCCTCTTCTTTTGTTGGGTCCTCATGTTGTTAAGGGCTGTGGAAAACTCTTTTTAACACATATTTTATTTTCAAGTAATCGACTTTTTCAAGTATTGGTTTTGTAGAGGTTTGTTTTTATCAATCGGAGGATTTCATCATGAGCTCACATCACTGAGAGAACCATTGGAAAACCACCAAGGATTACTGGACAGCTGTTTCGTCAGCCTAGTCTGGGACTCTTCACCGTACGCACCCACCTCAGGGTTTGAACCCAGGGGATTCTGGTTACAAGGCTAGCGAACTCGTAAACCATTAAGTCACTGGGACCCGATACAATGATCAGCCCATGAATACTAACTTCTGCCAATTCATGACATGATGTGACCATTTCACAATGTCTTCTTCGATGAGTTACTGCCTCACCTTCAACCTACATACTGCTGAAGAGTCCCAAGCTGGGCTGACGAAACAGCTGTCCGGCAGTCCCAGGTTTCCCAGTGGTTCTCCAACTGATGTCAGTTCATGATGAAATCTTCCAATTACTCGACTTTTTGTTATCATTAATTACAAGCTTCTTCCGTTTCAGTTACCTATTTCTAAATCACCTCTTTGAATAAACAGTACAGTTAGCACATAAAATGTGTCCCAGAGACTAAAATTCTATTCTAAACTAAACGCAGATAGGCGACTTAGTCGATCCGTAGATAAAATGAATGACTGTATTAACAAACTCAGCGACACATGTTTCATATTAGATAAGTTTATCTGATAGAACACACAGTGGTACAGTATTAATAACTGGATGACTTTTCCAGCACAGCTTATCACTCATAATCATATCAATGCATTCACACAAATCCCTGACTTGCTTGATATAGTCTCACTTCTTTTGGTTTTTATTACGATTTTCCATATATCAGGTATATATGTTTCGGCTCATGTTTAGTACTGGTTTGATGAACCAAGAGTCTGCTGTTGACCTCTCTGTGTCTCGGCCTAAGTTCATTACTTTTCAATACTTTCATCTTATCTCACCTTATTGTGTGATTACATGAAAGCGAATGCATAACAGTGCAGGATCAAGCAATCTAGCTCTGGCTAAACTCCTGTGCTCTGACAAGCTGACCGACCTAATATAACAGTCTGACTTATGTGACTTACCTCAGAGTCATTACATCGTACTTGACAAATTATATTATTTTTCTCAATTGGGTCTATCAGGCTCTTAAGCTAAGGAAGTATTTCTCAGAGTGAGTTAGTTGATTAAAGTGCTACCCTAACTCTAACCTTATTAAGAACCATACTTGAGGCCTATGATGTCCCCTCTCTATGTAGTAGTACTATTAACGTTTTAAATTCCTCATTGTTTTCATTACTTATATTACTACTCTTATTTTTCTTCTGGTTACTAATACATTTTTGAATGAAATCTGGTGAAAAGCTGTCTACTAGTAATGTTTTGCTTATTTGTTTAAGTTTACTACTTAAGTCTCCCGGGGAGTCAAGTTTCTGACACGATTACATGAGCATTTAACTAAACCCACCTTTACCGATTTCGGGGAAAACGATTCAAAGTCGAAGAGCCTCTTAGAATGTAACAGTTTCCGATACATGCTAATATCTAACCCATCATTCTGTTTTCATTTTATTCTACAATCTAGTATAGCTGACTCATCCTATTGATTTTCTAGCTCAGAAGCAAATTAGATTTCATCTGTTACTGAATTTACATGTGTGGAAAACGCCAGGGGTATGTTTAGATTTCAATACAGTGGATGAGCCTTTCACAACGTTATCTAGGAGCAGGGTTAAGTGCTGTGAAAGCTTTACTTTCCTAACTGTCCATAAATAGGTATGTTATTACTCAGGATACTCGTGATCCCAATGTCACAACATTTGCTTGTTGGTATATTTTATTTTGAAATTTGAGTACACTGGAGGTTAGACACAAGTGAACACCCAATCTCATTTCTTCAACCGAAACATTAGTTCCATTTTTGAGTTCAGGATAAATTTTCAGTTTATTTTCAGCTGTTACCATGGTTGCATTACACATAAACTCATCACGTCAAAACTATGCATTTTTCATCCTTTTTTATTTTAATTTCCTCTGGCTGTACCTTCAACTTTGTGGCACGTAACCTAGTGAAAACCCATTTATCTTTTTGAAACATTTTATCAAAAAGGATGTGTTATCACATATTTTTACGACGTGTTGGAGTCGTCAAATTTCTTGACAGTATTCGAGTTCCACTACTGATTCGAACCTATTTAGCCGCCTTTTGTTGTTTTATTCAAATACGTTTAGTTAAGTTCACTGCATCATCATAGCTTGTGATATCTGAGGCCCTTAGAAAGAATTAGTACATTTCAGAGGCTATTTGTCGTTTGCATGCTTCTTCACTCGCTGAGTTGACAACTTATGGTTTGGACGAGGAATGGATTTTCTAGATGTAATTTCGTAGGTTACATAGTACACTCATCTGATCCTAATCTCAGATGCTTACTATACAGAATGATTGACATATATAAAGGGGACCACCAAGATATCTATCTATTGATTAATGTTAAACGCGATCATAAAAGTTAGAAAAAACTTGCTGTTGTGACGTATAAAAATACAGAAAAACCTCCTGGGTTCATATCATTTACGGTGTGATGTTGTGATATTTATCATTTGAAAGTTAAGGCACTCGGGTATAACTCAACCTCTCCTCTTACAGTTCATAAACTCTTGCATCCTACCTATTCTTCTTTATTGTTCACCCTTGCTTATTCTTTCCTGGTTTTCTTAAAAAGGACTATGACACAATTCGTAGAATGCTGAAGACGGTCAATAGGGTGAGTGGTGTCCAAGTGGACCACATAGTTAATGTTGTTATCGATAGGCACTTGACTTCGTGCAATAAATTTGCTAGAGGGATTTTGTCTGACTTGGAGCATCCACTTTACCCTCAGCTTCCTTTCACCTTGCATCTCCTCAGGTAGAACAAGAAGTAACTTCATAAAACTGTATGCTCACACGTCTAAGTATAGAAATTCTATGATACCTTACTTGGCGTGTATTTTATGGGATGAAAAAATAGTGTCAGGCAAGAATTAACTAACCTTTTTTTCATCTAGTACATAAACAATTTCCTCAATCCATCCTTATATACCTTCAAGTTTTACTTTTATTACTTCTATTATATTTATAGTCCTTTTGCTTCTTTGTTTTACTTTCATAATTGCAAGCACCAACTTATCTCTATGACTTCTGTAATCTTTGTTTTTCCCCTCACCATATCATGTAAAGAGAGCATAATATCCAATATTTTTAAACATGTTACGATTTCTATACCGCATTGACAATACTGTGTGTAACAAGCCCACGGCACTTTTCACTTGTATTATTATTATTACCTTAGCTGTTTTTTTTATATACTGCATGTTTCTGACATTACCCCTATTGTAAATGTGGAAGATTTTCTGTGATTAATTTTATTTGTAATTTGAGGAAATTATATGCAATATTGTGATTAATGCTGAGAATCCCATTCTGTATCACAAGTACTGTTTTTGGAATAAAGTAAATCATTATTATTATTACACAGAAGTGATTTGAAATATATATATATATATATATATATATATATACATATGATTCAATGCTCAACGTCTTCATATAATCATCAATTTTATAATTTTTATATTTTATATTTTATTTATAAACAACAATTAATTCTGATTAACCAATTAACTATAGACAGTAATTACCAGCCAATCAGATGTTAAGAGATATGGTTAGGTAATAAACTTCGGAGTACACTGGTGATCTACACAATGACCTTGAACTTTTGAAATTAAAATGAAGGCATGTTGTTGATTTCATTACTGCCTCCATAAATATTGATATAGTCATTATTCTGTGTGTGTCTGTGTTATAATACTATATAATGTATGGATATAATCTGATATCAGAGGAAATTACAGATGAAATTAGTGCATTACTTTATCTATCTGGAGACATACTCAAATAAAGATCTAATCTAATTTATTAATGGCACACAAGTGTTGACGAACGTTTACTTTGATGATTAATCCAATGTCTACAGCTTATCAGCCAATTGTTGTACCATAGCACTTCGTCTTTTACATTTCAACAGTGATCATGCCTATGTTTTCATTCTCAGCGCCACATGTGCATTCATCATCATCATCAGCAGCAGCAAAAGCAGCATCAATGCCTTTATCTGTCACAATGACTATTTGGGTATATATTTTTAAAATTGGAAAACAAATACTTTCAAGAAAATTCTTGCTGATTTTTATAATTTTCATTTTAATATATGCAGCATACATATCAAAAATTGATTTTTTGCAAACTTTCAATAAAATCGACAAGTCGAAGAAAGAGTTGTTTCGTAAAACAGAATTAATTCTGAACGTGTCTAGAACTAACTCTCCTACCAGCCATAGTAATAATTATAATAATCATAAACAGGTTAGTAATTATACTAATTATCAACAGGAAAACAAGCCAAATAATCCTAAAAGATATTTAGGTTCACTTGTGACAAATCTGTTTGATGAACAAAACTATGTACTGAAAAGGAAATTCAATATTAACAATCTAGTTCTATTTCCATTTGAAACGAATAACCCATACACCGATGACAGGATATTAGCTCAAATGAGTTATGTACCAGTACAAGTAGTAGAAGTGAGTAAAGTAATACAGTGAGCATTTTTTTGATGTTATTATTATTTCTTATTGTTTCTAGTTCCTAGAGGAATATAGGGTTTCACTTACATGTCTCCATTGTGTTCGGTTCTCCGACAACATTTTCACCTAGCTCTAGGTCTGCCCACATGCTTTCATTTACTCTTGACATGACCTCCTCCATGTCACCCTAGCACTGACAACCAACTCGCCACTCCCCATTCGCGTTCCGCTCGACCAATAGCCTGATGTGTGATGTCACTCACTTGATGGTTTGTTTTCTGAGAGTATGACCGACCCACCTCCATTCATTCCTTCATATCTGTTGCACAACTGGTTCCTGCTGGGTTGGTTTGCTCATTGCCAGAGATCCATTTCTGTTACTGATCTTCTCTGGTGGCCGGCTATCTGATCTTGAGTAGTACTGAGAGATGACAGCTGTTAATGAAGGTGTGTAATTTGTTCAAAGTGTCCTTCATGACGCGGTGACAAGTGTCTTATCCGTATAGTGAGTAGTACTGACTTCACATTGGAGTTGAAAATCAGCTTCTGATTTTTCATGCTGAGTGCTGTTAATGTTAACTTGCCAATATCGTAAGTTTGCTGCCTCCTAAAATAAAAAGGTGTTCTTTATTCATACCGGTAATAATCACTAGGAAACTAAATAATTTAATGGTTTTGTGTGCTTGTGTGATTCAGTTAGCCTGGTGAATATTGTTGTATGTCGGTGGTTCAACGGTAGCATGCTGGTTGGCTAGATTTTGATCCCTGGTAGACATACCTGTCAAACTTTGCTTACCCGGAAGTGAGCCAGGGTAGGGTGAAAACTGGTCGTTAGGCTAGCAACATCATTCCGCGGAGAAAAATAACACCACGGCTGTTGAAACCTCAAAGCTCACAACTTGAAGCCCTATGTTCTATTAGCAACACGGAGGAATTAAATAATGACTGTGTTGGTTGTCGTGAAATTCATTATTTCATTTGAAGTGTTGTTTCTTTCTGCTCAGAATTTAATTAAGGATAGTCTAGTCTGCAGTGCTAAGAGTAACTATTTTAAGTAATTAGCTAGTGCATCAGTGTTTATCCACCAACAAATTCTATCATGATAATGACATAATGAATAAGAGGAATATGTAAACTATGCGATGGTATTAGTGAGTTGTCGTTAATAACTGACACTCTGTGGTGGGGATTACAAGTAAACTATTTGAAGCCATAAATTAATTTTGGTTTGTAAGGTATAGATTTGTTTTGACGAGTTGATCACGGGTTAATATTATTTAGAGAGGAACTGGAAACCAGGGAGTACTGCACAGCTGTTTCGTCGGCGTAATTTGGGACTCATCAGCAGTACGCACCCACCAATGGGGTTCCAACCCAGAACCTTCCGGTTACAAGGCAAGCTCGTATATCATCCAGCGATTACCAATTAATCTGATGCCCGCTAGTGACTTACTACTGGATGGAGTTTCCTGGAGTTCTAGTGAGAATTCGTGACCAATGAGGTCCATCCAGTCAAGTGTGAGGATGGATGTCCCACCGATGATATTGGTTGGTGGTCGCGCTAACTCACGAATTGGTAGAAGTTAGAATTCATAGCCTGGCCAGTGGATCGTGTCCCAGTGGCTGAATTGTATACGAGCTTGATTGCTTGTAACCGGAAGGTCCTGGGTTCTAACCCAAACTAGGCTGACGGAATAGCTGTCCAGTACTCCCTGGTTTTCAGTGGTTCCCTAACTGATATCAATCCGTGATCAATTCGTCGAAATTAAATATTTTATAATTTTTGACACATCTGAAGCTATATTGTTTTGTTTTTTTGAAACTTCATCAGTTGCCTCGTGAGCTGAAAAAGTCTAATAATAATAATTAAAACATGTAGCCTGTTTGGTTACAGGATTTCATCATGAGTTGACACTGGTTAGAGAACCACTGGAAAAACTGGGAGTACTGAAAAGCTGTTTCTTCAGCCTAGTTTGGGATTCATCAGCAGTACGCACCCACAAATGTGGTTCGAACCCAGGACCTCCTGGTTACAAGGCGAGCTCGTATACCATTAAGCCAATGGGAGCCAGGCCATGAATTCTAACTTTTGCCAATTCACGATAAAGCGCAACCGCTAGCGAGCATTTGTGCTCACACCCGACCTGACTGATGAAGAGTCCCAAACTAGGACGAAACAGCTGCCCGATACTCCCAGGTTTTCCAATGGTTCTCTAACCAATGTCAACTCATGATGAAATCCTGTAATCAATCAACCAAATCCCTACAAACCAATACTTGAATATGTAGCTTGTGTTGACGAGATATTATTCAATAGCAAGAGTGGTATATACATAAACACCGCCTCATGTAAACCAGTCAATTTAAATAATTGTAGAAAATTGCAAGTGGAAGAGTTAAACTTAATTAGGAAAATGGTTGAATATTTCAGAAACATGAGAATAAGTCAAAAAGCAAATGAAAATAAACGTTTTCTGAAACTTAGAAGCTATTTCAATAAGCTATGAAAATGATCACAAGTACTGGTAAATCCTTGATGAAAGTATGTTACATTTTCTTCTCAAGCCAGTAACAGATTTATTATTTTTATGTTGTTGTTGTTGTCATTAATCCCTTGGGATCTGAAAAGAATGTAGGGCTTCAGCAGTACATAGTCGTTTCACTCTGTTTTTCGCTGTCTTTTTTTAACTGGCTCTACGACAGCCTGTATTCTTTATATAATTTCTTTCATGTTACCCTCAGATGTTGAAATCGTCGTTTCCCATTCAAATGACCCTCGGCCGCCTAGCGCGTGATGTCATTCAACGGTCCTATCAGCAGGTGTCCATCTTCACATTCTTTGGCATATTTTTTGTGCGATTCGTTGCTGGTTGGTTCCCTACGTGATAGAGTTTCTTGTTTCTTATCCCTTTCGAACGTTTAACTTTCAACACCAAGCCAGTAAATGTAGGTATCGATGAAAGTCAGTAGTAGCCTAGTGGAAATGCTTTTCCGGAAGTGAAATATACAGAAACACTGATATGGCCTTAGTGTTGAAGATCCAGATCTTGTTCGTTGTATTGAGTGCAGTAGACTTCCATAGTGATTTCAGTGTAACGAAGGCTTGCCTTGCTTTCCTACCTTAATTTTTGACATCCTCATCTGTGCTGTTTGTAAATGAAACTATGCTGCCCAGGAGTGTGAAGGGAACAACTTTCTTTGAATGTCTTCCTTTGATAGTGATTGTTGCTTCTTGTTGTTGTTAGTTATTGATTATCTTCGTCATCTGAAGTCCTTTTCTCCAGTGACTCTTCTTCCAACTAGTTGGTTTTCTCCTGTAGATCATCGACTTTGTGTGACGTTTGACATAAATCATCTGAGAATTTGATATCTCTTAGAATCTTCTTGTTGGTATAGTGTATGCCAGTCTTCTCACTCCCACGGTCTGTTGCACGAGCCAGTCCACTACAACGAAGAATATCATCGGTGCTAGTAGGCACCTTTGTCTTACTTCTTTCTTTTCTTCATAGGGTTCGCTGAGTTTTTCGATGTGCGTCACACAACATGTGGGATCATTATACACCCGGTGAATACGGTTGATAAAGGCTAAAGACACTCCGTAGTGTTGAAACAGTCTTCAAATCATTTCGCGACCAAACAGATGTTTCTGTTTAAACATGTAAGTAAATCAGTTTGCATTCACTTGAAAAATATCCTGAACCGCATCTCGACCATTAATTATCAAAATGTTTTTCAAAAGACTGCTGTGGTGAGTAAAGAAAACTCTTGAAGCCTTATATTTATATCTGTTGTAAGGATGAGTAATTTCCGAAATAGTATCCGATGTCATTGATAAATTTCAGACTGAGATATACGCTCTATTTGTTTGCGTTTTAAGTTTTGCCACTTTGAGACACCACATACAATATCGAATAGAATGCAGGCAGTTAGCAAAATAGTTTGTGCACCTCAACGGCTTCAATAATAGCATATATGTAACAGTAAATACATGACAACCACTACTTTTGTCAATATTTCTAAATTCCATTACGGGTAAATTTTGTTTTGATAAAGTCTCACAGTGTTATACACTAATGTTTACTGATGACGTTTCGAGCACAATTTATTCCTGCTCATAATCATATCAAGGTAATCACACGACTTCCTAAATTCATTTATATAGTTCCATTGTTTTTCTCTTGATTTTCACTTGATTTGATTGGTAATAGTATTTCCCATATTTCAGGTATGAGTGACGAGTCATTCCTGTCGCATGTGTTTCGTGTAGACTCGATGAACAAGGATTCAGTAATCAACCTCTCTCTCCACCTATCTAGATTACTTTTTAGAATTTTAACCCTCTCCCAACCTATTGTGTGGTTGTGTGTTAGCGCATGCATTGCAATTGCTGAGCTCTTTTCTAAATTACTTATCTTCTCCGGGTCAACCATTCTTACCTTAGCTAAATTCTTATGCTCTGACAATCTGACTACCCCTGACCTACTAGTTTGACCTATGTAGTTGACCTCACAGTCATTGCATGGTATTTTGTAAATAATATTATTTTGTCTAATTGGGTCAACTGGGTCCTTTAACCTACAGAGCTTGTCCCTGAGTGAGTTTGTAGGTTTAAATGCCACCCTAATTTCTATTTTATTCAGAATCCTACGTAGTGTCTCAGATGTCCCCTCTTTATATGGTATAACTGTGGATGACTTATATTCTCTCTTATTTATGTTATTATTACTAGTTTCACAATTATTTTTATTTTGTTTTTGGCCTTTAATGATCTTCCTAATGAATTTTATAGGATAGTTATTCAACACCAACGCTTCTTCTATCTGTTTTAATTCATCATTTAGATCTTTTTTTGTGCTACTTAGTTCCACTGCTCGGTTTGTTAAACATTTAACTAAGCCTGCCTTAACAGTTGAAGGATGAGACAGATTAAAGTCTAAATATCTATTAGAATGCGTTGGTTTTCTATAAACACTAGTGTGTAGTTTGCCTTCTTCTAT